AAACAGATCTAGAACCAGACAAAACAACAGCATCTACCATCGAACCAAGCAATCAATTCAAACAGAAGAAATGAAGGAGATGAATCGAGAAGCATTACTTCAGGTCGCTCTTCTTTGTCAAGATCAGAGGCTTGGGAGTCAAGCATCATCGCCTCCACTGTCAAATCCGCAGTATGCTCCATCCAGTAGTTCTTCTGCACCTCGCGCTCTTGTACTTTGAAACACAAAAGCAACCGATCCAGTCAGAAAAATCAAAACACAAACACAAACACCGTGTGAATAAGAACACAAAGAAAATGAGAGTTTTACCGCCATTGTTAGTAGGAGCCATTGCCGCCGATTAGAACCGAGATAGAAAGTGTACGAATGAGGAGGACGAGAAATTTAACCAAGTTCCAAGGCCTATGAACCCTCAACGGCGAGGCGGGATCTGGAAAAGCTCCTGGATCTTCGGTTGTTTAGTCTTCCTCTCTGCTGCATGCAGCAAGATGTTGAAGGAACTGTAAACGCTTCTCCCTCTCTGTTGACGTCGAAAATGTGTTGCCAGCGAGTTCCCCAACTTTGGAGGGCCTCTTTATATACAAGTCCCCGAGTCTGAAACGCAATTTTCGCCGCCTCACTCAACCATTTCCTATATCATTCTTACTTACTTTCATTTTATTTATTTATTTTTTTTTTAAATCTCTATAATTTTTGCCTTATAATTTAATAATATTTTTGTAATAGAAATATATATTGGGCTTTAATAAAATCGTAATTACGATTTCCAAGAATTTTGTTATATCATAATAATAAATATTCATTTTGGCATATTTATTTAAAAAATGCAGATTAAATTAAAAATACCACAAACTATATAATAAGACAAAAATGATTGAAACCCCTATAGTTTTTTATTGAATTGTCACGTGTTGATAATTTATATAGTTAAGATTGGATCCAGCAACACTTTTCTTTATTCTTTGATTTCAGTTCCAAATTTATAATACTAATTTTATTAAACTTTTAATTAATGGGAGCATCTATTATTATTATTATTTAATTCCTTTATTTGTCAACGTCATAGCTCAGAAACTGGTTGTCGCGTAGTGGATGAGATTCGGGAATCAATGTATGGTCATCAACTTTTTACTTTTTTTTTTTTTTTTTTTTAATGGAAAACAAAATCAGCTTTTAAATAGAAAATAAGTCTCTTAATTTCTCAAATTTTAAAATATATGTTATTTAGTCGTTGAATTTTAAGAAAATGGTTTAAAAGGATAATTGAATAGTTTATTTATTTTTAAGCTGACGTGGCATTTAAAACTATTTTATAATGAATGATAATTAATTTTGGCAATAAGAAAAACATTTTTAGAAATTAAGTTTAAATGCTAAATAAAGGTAATTTTTAAAATTGAAGGCTTTGAACTGTTAGGTGGGAGGTGGACCCCATGGAATCGTGGGAAAGATTTGGACGAGAAGTGTGGAGGGGTAAGAGAGAGAGAGGCACGTGTGAGTAGCACGTGGAGGATGTATCACACGTGGGACCAGAAAATAAAAATCAAAAGCCATCAATCTCGAGAATCAAAACAGCAGCAACACTGACAATGCACTGACAGCCACGTCATCTTTTTTGGCGCTATTATCTTTCCTGTCTCGAGTCACATGCCTCTTGCCCTGCCCCATCTCCATCAACTACCAAGAAAGTAATATTTAAATAATTTTATATCAATTTTAATTTTAAACGGACCGGGCTCGAGGATGGAAGGCCCAATTTCGTAATTTGCAAAGGCCCAGTTTCTTAATTTGTAAAAGCCCCATCTCGTGGAGGCCCAAATATAGATTGGCGGTAATTGCCGATGCTCCTCCCAAATCCAACAGGCATTTCCTGGCACTGACTCGGAGGTGGTTAGCACGTGTGGCCCATATTAGTGGTAAATATTAAAGTTTCCATTTAATTATTTTAATATATTGTTAAGAAAATATTAAATGGACCAACAACAGTAAATTTTAATATTTGTTTTTTTTTTAAATATTTTTTTAGTGGAAATATTTTTAAAATTCAAATAGAGAAAAATTCGTGGGAAAGTCAGCATCCTTAGCACGTGCAACCAAGCAATCGGGTGCATATTAAAGAAAAAAGTAATTGGAATAATAATATTGTGCGATTTTGAAAAACAAATTTGCAACGTGATTCTTATTATCATTAAATTTCAATTTTTATTTAGAATTAGTGATTTTTCGTTTGCGGTTTTATTTTATTTTTTAAAAAATAAAATCGGTAGCAGAAAAGGAAGAAAAAATGAGTAATTTAGAAAAAAAAAAAAGAAAAAAAAAAAGGGAAAAGCGTCCATCACTTATGGGCAAAGTTTAGATTGTCTGCCACTAAATTTTGTCGGGTCGGCCCTCCCCACGACAATCTTTTGTGGGCTGTCATGTCCCTATTATATCTCTCTTTATTTTATATATACATATAAATAAATAAATAAGCCCTACCAATTTATTTTTATCTTAAATATATAAAGGTAAAGTTTCGAGTCATTTTTACGCATTTTTTTACCAATTTTACTGCACAATTATTTAATTCTAATTTTATAGTTATATTTCTTAAATAACTAAATTATTTATTAATGAGTTTGTGTTCACTTTTTAACCAAAATTCACATGAAAATATAATCCATAAATTTTTAAATAAATATATATATATATATATATATATATATATATAATATTACCAATGAAACGGTAATTATCACTTTTATAATGATTTTGACTAAATATGAAGATTCGTTTTTTTAATATGAAAATATATATTATTTAAAATAAAGTGTGTTATTATTATTGCGATAAATGGGTTTAAATCATAATTAGGCATGCAAATAGAGTATTAAGTTAATGAATTGAGTATGGATATGAGCATTCTTTGATACCCATCAGGGAAGCATTAGTGACGTGTCCTTAACTTCAATATTTATTATATTTTATAATTATTAAACCTTTTTAATAGTAATTATTGAATTTACATTTTAATCATTTTATTTTATTTGAGCTTCTCTAACAAGCCTCTTATATTCCCATGCATATTCATGCATGTCCACGTCATATTTATAAATTCCTATAATTCCTAATTTCTAAGCATTTGTTTAATTATCTTTTACGTTATTTGATAGTATAAATTATCGTCACAGGTCATTTTAGCATGTTTTATTGTCACTCATGTGTTTCATAAGAAAATTTATACAACTTATTTAAATGTAAAACTGCTCCAAGCTAAGCATATCCAACAGTGATATTCTTGTGACTGAGCCACCGAAAAGGAAGACACCTTCCTTCCCAGCGGCTCAACCATAAAAACTTTAAAAATAAATGTGTTTAGCTTAGAGCAATTTTATGTCAGATGACATACTATAAATTTTTTTAAGAAACATGTGAGTGAAGACAAAACATGTTTATAGGACTTGTGTTGGTTTGTGAGGATAGTAGTATTCAGTCTTAGAAACAATGAACAGGTAACATGGTCAAATCTAGATTTTCAATCTTGATTCAAATTTTGGGCACGAGGCATTACACTTTTTATTACTATTACTTTAGAATAAAACATTGAAATTTGATAATTTGAACTGTATTTCGATGTAACATTTCAAACCCACCACTAGCAGATATTATCCGTTTTGACTCGTCTTACAATTTTAAAACGCACCTACTGTAAAGAGATTTTTATACTCTTATAAAAAATGTTTCGTTCATAATCTTTTTTAAACCTTTAAAAGGTAAATAAAAGTTTATCAAAAGAGAGAATTTTGGAGATTTAAAGTAAATAGAGAGAAAACAAAAGGGAACGAGGAAAAAAAAAACAAAAAAAGAAAAAGAAAAAGAAAAGAAAAAGGTGTCAGTAAAAGGTGTATTATGTAATTAAAAGGAATTTAGAAGATGTAGAAAGGAGTGTGAAAAAAATAAATAAATAATAAATAGAAAAAATAAATTTTGATTGTGGCTTTTGTCCCCCAAATTCAAAGGAGGGGCCTTCTTCTTACTCTAAATATCAATTTAATTTTAATTTTAATTATTATTATTATTAAATCTATCTCCACTTTTCCCTCCATATTAATTTATATGCAAAAATATATTAATTTATAAATCTAAATTAATATAAAATTGACTCAAAAACTTCAAATATTAACCATAGTTAAAAATTGAACTCGATACTTTTTCTTCTATCACCATATTAGATTACAACTCGACGTAAATTAACTTAATCACAGTTAAAAGCGAAGTTGAATGATCTCGAGGATAGAATTTTCAAATATATTTAAATAAAAAAAGTGAGTTAAAATATTTATTATTTATATTTTAATGATATTTTGTTGTATTTAGTTGATTTTTTTTTACTATAAATGAGAGGAATGGGAAAAATCTGTAAATAAATAACAATTAAAAAAAGTGGGAGAAAATCCAAAACACCTTTTTTTTTCCTTATATAATTAACTACCAAACATAATGATTTTACAGCTTTTTTTTTTTTTTTTTTTTTTTTC